GAATGTTTGTTGTTTCTTCAATGGTCTCCAACAGCAAGGCACCATTGTTTGTGGAGAATGGTGTGGGGAGGAGAAAAGGAGAGGTGCACACAGAGTGATGAGGAAGTTGGAAATGGCTTGGAAGGAAAAAGATTACCATGTGCATAAAGGGATTCGATCTGTGGATGGTGAGAAGAAATCTTGAAAAGTGTCAGGATTAGGGAAGCTGATGATCAGGCTGAGCTAAAAGAAGCAAATACTTGTATGATCACTCGATCTTTGTGATGGAATATAATTCATTCTGAGGCGTAGCAGCTGAAAAATCACAGAAACACCAAGGTTGGAAAAAATCTACAAGATCATCCAATCCAACCATCCATCACCAATAGTTTTCTCTAAAACACAACATCCAAATGTTCGTTGAACACCTCCAGGGTCAGTGACTCCACCACCTGCTTGGGCAGCCCATTCCAATGCCTGACCACTCTTTCAGAAAAGTAGTATAAAATCCTTGGATCCAAGGAGAATACCTTGAGTGTTTTTTTTTGGTTTTGTTTTGTTTTTTTTTGAAGAGTTCCATGGGATATGGGATTTCTGTGTGTGTGTACTTCAACCAGTGTAGGAAACCTGCACTGTAGCTTGGAGAATTGCAGTGGATTTTGAAACTAGTGTGTATGGGTTTTGATTCTGTAATCTAAAGATGAGGTGGCAGTGGATGTGAATGTATGAACACAGGTAAGCACTGTATGTTGCAGCAAAAATGCTTAGCTCTGACTTTGGTGCATAAGAAAATGTTGAGTTATGGTGCAGGCATTGTGGAACTGTAAAAACAAACAAACAAAAAAATCAAACAGACCCACACAAGCTAGAATGAAATATTTGACTAAAGAGTTGATTCTTCGATGATCAACCACTCTTAGTTTGCCTGGACTTCTGACCTCTTGCTCTTCAAGCAGCCATTGGCCTTTGTGGGATGGGGAGGGAGCGTGGTAGGCCAACTCAGGAAAGCTTTGTTGCAGTGTGGAATAATGGCAGTGGAAGAGAGAATGGGGGTTTGTAGGTTGGTGGGTAGAAGAAGCAGCAATACGTGCCTGGAGTCCTGCATAACTCAGTCTGGCTCCTTGAGTTGTAGAGTCATCAATTTTGGAATTGCAGTGAAGAGGATTAATGCATGCTACTTCTCAGCTTCTCAAAACCTATTCCTGTATTGTTAGAAGAAAAGAAAGAGATGATAGAGTAGAACAAGGATCGGAAGAGGTGCAATACTGCAGGAAAAACATTCAAGGAAGAACTGAAAATAAAATCAACTGGGGCCTTGTACAGATGTACCGAAGATAAATCTCCTGGCAGAGAAGGAAGCTGCAGGGTAGGAATGCAATATTTCAGCAGGGCTGTCATTCCGGGCGGGTATAGCAGAGGCGTTTCCTCGCAGCTCACCTTGGCTCATGTTGCTGGCGGCAATTGCAGAGGAAACTCTTGAGCGTGTCAAAAATAAGAGTGCTCTCACAGATCTGTGCAGGCTCCGTGTCTCTGACTTGTCTCCCTCAAATTCCCACCAGGGAAGACCCCGTAATGTAAGAGAAAATACAGGGATACGTATAAAAGAATGAGCTGGTGCAATGAAGAGCCTTCCAAAATGAACCGAAAATAGGATCTTTGGAGAAGGGCAGTGAGTCCTAATAGAGTGCATGACCAAAGCAGATGAACGCCACCAGCAGTATTAGTGCAAACCCAGTAGTTCTTACAGTTTACAGCTGGGATAATAAACTTCTGGTTTCTGGACTTCAAAGCAGTGAGGAATTGAACTGGAAGGAGTTTGGAAGGAGAATGATGTTGGCAAAGTTCCCCTGAGCTGAGTGATGTGGGACTGGGCAACGAGGTCCTTCCTGAGGTATGGATGGATGGTGCAGGCATGCTCAGAGCAGAAGGCAGGTGAGGTGCACAGAAAAAGAGGACAAAATCTCAATCTTACCCTGCAGCCCTCATGGAGACCAAAGTTAACTTACACAGAGTTAAAGCTTCCTGGGTTGTGAGCAATTGGCTGTTTGGTCTCTCTCCAGGTTCCTGGTGGACAAACATACCTTCATCTGATGCTCAGCCTTCTCAATCCAATGCAATAGAGCAGAGTGCTGGCTATCTTTCTAACAACAGAAGTTGTAGACTGGATGAGCAATAAAAAATATATTAAATAAACAAATAGCCCCTTTTTCCCCCCATCCTGAACGATTTTCTTGGAAGGAACAGCTCAGCCTTTGTGAGGAGCTGAGAAAGCATCTAATGCTGACACCGTTGCCTTACGGGACCTCACTCAGCCTAGGTTGCATAAAAGGGCTTTATGGGATTACAAAGGTTCCATGCAGTGGCAGCTCGAGGCAGTGTTTCAGGTGGGGCCACCAGCTCTGCCTGTGCTTGTTTACTACTGATGTGTGGCTTCTTTCTCACCCATTTGGTTTTTGATGTCTGTTTTCTGTGGTGGATGAGGACTGAAGGTAGCATGCTCCTCAGTGCAGAGTTGGGTCAGGAAGCAGGCTGAGCAGGTGGGAGAAGTGCTCTGCTATCCATCGTGTTGGTGTGGTGTCTCTGTGTTGTCCCAGGCAAGGGTGAAGAGGGAGTCTGGAAGTGGAGATGCTGGCCCAATGTTTGCAGCTTATATGGTGTTGCCTGCGTTATCCTGGTTATCAAAACTGATGAACTTTCACCCAAGCCTCTGCACTGTGCTTCTGCACAGTGAAAATGGCATATTGTCAGCAACATCCCATTTAATGTTTCCATTTCCTATTGTTTTCCATGGCTTTCCACCTGCAAATCAAAAGCAGGAGTCAGAGCCCTGTCCTCTGGCTTTGTGCAGCACAATGAATCCTGTTTTCTACCTTCTCCTTGTTCCAGACTCTTCATTTTGTTATTTGGCTGACTCTTACTGGGACCCCTGACAGTGCTGCTCAGAGAGCTGTGGCTTCCCCATCCCTGGAGGTGCCCAAAGCCAGGTTGGCAGCATGATCTGATGGGAGACAACCCTGCCCATGGCAGGGGAGTTGGAACTGGATGATCTCTCAGGTCTCTTCCAATTCGCAGCCTTCATGTGATTGTCTTTAAGAAATCAATGACTTGAAGTATTTCAAAGGCAAACATCAAATGGGAGGAATGTAAAGGGGCTCCAAACTGCTGGTTGCTGTGCAAAACCTTGCCTGTAGGATCAGCTCCTGTATCACTCCCCCTGACTTCTACATGATACATGGAGCTTGTGCTTTCCAGGACATTTTGCTCACCAGTACCAGCTCAGTTGGAAAGGTAAAAGAGAGGTAGAAAATGGGTTATGTCTTCTCGGCCAGCAGAGGATATATATCCCTTACAGCAACTAGGAAAGCTTGTAGGATTGAACCTTTGGGGGAAAAGAATTGATGAGGGCTAGGAATGAATATCTTGGAGATTTTGTTACAGGCATTTACTACTGCAAAGCTTGGATCTAGCCACCTCTCTCATAAGCATAAGTGGTTAATGAGGCCACCAGGGCCAGGTGATGTCCCAAGTCCTTGGGCAGCACTCAAGCCTGAGTCCACACAGTGCAGAGCAAAAATGTGAGGGTTAATATTTGTCAGTGCCTTTATTTTTCTAGGAACAGATTTTTTTGGGGGAAAAAAACATTTTGGGGGGAAATTTGCATAGGTCACTCTCCTTTGTCGTCTTTCCCACAGATCACTTTGACTCTTCATTTTTTTGGTTTCTATCTTGATTTTATGTTAAATCACCTCATTAAACGATCAGGAATAATTGTCAGCTGTACCACACGTTGCTTGGCTGTGGCTCAGGTCAGTGCCAGCTGTTTATGGGAGGTTTGGGAATCAAGGCACCATAGGTGCATGGCTCGTGGGATTGCCTTCCTGGCAGGATGCATCCTGTTAATTACAGACGATTCCTCATTGGAAAAGGAACATCAAGCTGCTGTTCTTGAGGGTTTTTAAGCATTTCCGTGGTCACTCAGTGTTTGGTGAAGGTGATGAGTGTGTGCTCTGCTCCCATGCCTGCCACCTTGTTTCTCCTGATGGGTCTTGGTCTATGCTCGCTGCACATGCCCATCTGCACAGGGCTGCATTGCACACAGCATGTTTTAATTCTGGCTTTAAGCACTTCCTTCCATTTTGGCTGGGGAAATGTGTCTTCAGGTTCTTCAGAAACCTTTTTTAGTTATCCCCATTGACTGCATGCACTGGCACCTGGCCGGAATAGGGCAGAGCCAGGAGGATGGGGTGCAGACAGCCCAGCCAGCAACCCACTGCTGAGCCCAGCAGATGTTCCTGCAGCCTTCCTGCTCCCCGGGGCCGATGCCAGCCTGGTCCTTTTCCAGCAGCTCGTCACTTGACACCGGGAACAGTACGCTGGCTTCTTTTGTTGCACATTTGGAAACCTTGTGCAGGGGAGAAGAGAAGGACACGTCTTTCTGAATTTCTTCAGGTCATTTTGTAGGCGTTGAGCTCATGCTTCCTTGTTAAAACCTTTTGGCATCGTCGTCTCTCAAAATGTATCCTGCTTGCAAGCCTCGATCCGTGACTGAATTTTGTGTAGGGATCTCTCCTGTTCTTCTGCTTAGGGTGGAGTGGCTGTACGTGCTCTCTTGGTGTGTCTCCTGGGGTCTGGTGGCACAAGTCACCTTCCCAAGCTGGTTCTGGCTCTGCTTGATGCCCTGAAATGACTATTTTCTTTTTTAGTGCACAAGAGAGTAGCTGCAGTGTTCTTGCCTTCTTGCTAGTTTCCTGAATTCATGCACTTATGTACCTTCTGTAATTTTTTCCCTATTTCAGTTTTAAATGAACTGTCCTTTGGCAATTTTGAGTTTGACAGACGTGGCGATTGCCAAGGTCTTTCATCCAAACAAGCTCCGCGGAGAAAATAAATCCATGTATTTCTTCTTACCTCCCTGTCGAGCATAGACTGCAGAGAGCCTTGCTGTAAAATCTCTTCTCTCCCACTGCATCCCAGTGGGTGCTCAGCTCATTCTCACCCTTTACCCCACTGCTCCTCTGCAGGCTGACGGGCAACGAACCCCTGACCATCCTCCCTCTGACCTCAGAAATGGAGGAAGCTGCCGTCAAAGCCCACTACAAAGTCTGTGACCGCCTGAAGCTGGAGAAGAAGCAGCGCAGGATGTGCCGGCGGGACCCCGGCGTGGCAGAGACCCTGATGGAGGCCATCAGCATGAGTGCACTGGAGTGCCAGTACCAGTTTCGCTTTGAGCGTTGGAATTGCACCCTGGAGGGCCGCTACCGGGCCAGCTTGCTAAAGAGAGGTGAGTGGGATGGGGGTTTGCTTGGGGCTGCCGGTACCTCCTGCGCTGGTGGGCTTCCCTGCCATTTTGCGCAGCAGTCATCCTCATGTCATTGGAGAGTGCTCTCCTCAGGGCTCTAAAAAGAGCTTCATAGAATCATACGATGGTTTGAGTTGGAAGGGACCTGAAAGATCATCCTGTTCCAACCCCTCTGCCATGGAACAGGTTCCCTCCCACCTGATCAGGCTGCCCAGGGCCCCATCCAACCTGGCCTTGAGCACCTCCAGGGATGAGGCATCCACACCCTCTCAGCAGCAGTGCCAGGGCCTCACCGCCCTCTAAATAAAGAATTTCTTCCTAGCATCTAACCTAAATTTCCCCTCTTTTAGTTTAAATTAATTCCCCCTTGTTCTGTCACTATTAAACCATGTAAAATTTCAGTTCCCCTCCTGCTAATAAGCTCCCTTTGGGTTCGGGAAGGCTGCAAAGAGATCTCCCTGGAGCCTTCTCTTCTCCAAACTAAATAAGCCTAACCTTTGTGGAAGGTAAAGACAAAGCCAGGCATAGCTCATCTGTTCAGTCTGTGGCTGTGATTGATGTGCTCGTATCAAAGGAACCTCTGCCTGCCTCCCATCACTGACCACAGCTCCTCTGTGTGGAGGCTGGAGATGTTTGTTCATATGTCTGCAGCCAGAAGCTCTGTGTGCTCCTCGCTTCTGCTGGAAGTTGAGCCATTGCTGTAGGAGAAGAGAAGAGAAGAGTTTTAAGGTTCCAAAGCTGTGTTGTCTTTTTTTTTTTTTAAATTATGTTTTAAAAACTATTTTATTTCTCCTATTCAAGAAAGAAAGTGGGAAAATGCTTTGGTAAAGGAATAAAGACAAAATGGTGGTGGGGGGTGGTGTCACGATGCAAGGCACAAACTCAATGCTTCCATGCCCTGCTCTTCTCTACCTGTGCAAAAGCTCTCTGGCTGTGAGCAGTGAGTGATGCCCACACTGCTTCCTGGTGGAGATGACCAGAAGCTAATGAAGAGTATTAGAGGAGCAGGTGGTGTGTTCTGTCTGTTTCCTTTGCACTGTCTTTTGTAGCCCAGCTCTCTTGCAGCCTCTCAATGAAATCATACAATGGAATCAGAATAGCTTGGATTGGAAGGAACCTCAAAAATCATCGAGTTCCAATTCTTCTGCCAAAGTCCAGCTCTTATTACTGGACTGAAGCTAACCATGCAGTAGGCCCACTTCACAGGTGGCTTCCCTGGAACTTGAGGGCTTCAGTGACTCCCAGAAAGTCTCACCTTCAGTGACTGGACCTCGAGACCCAGAGTATGACATGCTCAAAGATGAATTTGAAGCTCTGCAGTGCTCCCTCGTTCCCTAAGAAATGGGAAGGAGCCAGCCAGAAGCTCTAGGGCTCAACTAATGCACTGTCACCGACTGCGATGGAAACAAGGAGCGTCCTTATGAAACCCAAGAGGTGCAGCCAGAGCTGCAAGACGTTTAAAAATATCTCTGCATGCCAGAGGAGTCCCTGGATTAGTGGCGCCTTGGGAAACCCAAGCACTTTCTCATGCTGACACCTGGAGGCCACAGCTTGCTCCTTCAGATGTGCCCTCAGCGAGGGGAAGGGGTATTCCAGAGCAGCCTGGAATTTTGCTGCTGGAAAACCCTGCTGCAAACCATCCCAGCTCCTTGTCAGGACACCATTTAATAAATGGTAGCACTGAGGGTTGCAGAGCTCGGCCTGCTGTCTCATTCTTCCATGCTTTATGCCCCTGCAGCATCTCAGCCCGCCACCGATGCTGTAAATCCTTCAGGTGTTGTTCCCAGAGCACAGCTCACAGCCCTGTAAATCTTTCTCCTCCTCTCCAGGAGCTGCTGGTTCCTGGTTCGGCATTGCAACGAGCGATACCCCCAGGGCAAAGGGGTATGGCTATAACCCACTATGACACAGCTATTCCAATATATCAGTGGGGGAATGTTTTCTTTTTTCCTCCAGAGCTTCACAGAGAGGAAAATAAAGAAAAAAACAAAAACAGAAAACAACAACATAACCACAAATGTTTTACTTAAGAAAACTTTCTCCCTCCATTGTTCCTCTCGGTCCTCAGCACAGCCCAGCTGCTGGTTTGCAGTTTGGGCTGATGCGGCCCGTTTCTTAAAATAACAGGAGATTGTTCAAGGGACTCGTTATCCTGTTCGGATTCTCGCGAACGATTTTGGAAAGGGCTGAAAGGGGATAGCTGCGGATGGCAGGCTGTCGATGCACCAGAATGCCTGCATTGATTTAAAGCTCATTATCTTGTTACAGCATATCTCGGTGCAATCAAATAGTGCACGGCGGAGATGGCTTTAAATCTGGCCAGAGCCAAATGTCACATGGACTTGCTTGGGAGCTGCCTGAGCTGCCTGTGGGCGAGATGATACCCGCGCTGATGGGCACTGGGCATCTGTGGGCTTTTGGTGATGGAGAAGGGGAGGAGGAGAGCTGAGGCTGATGAGGGGATTGGCAGAGGGAAGCCTGGCTCCGTGTCAAACCCAGTATGCAGTGTGGTGGCAGGTTGCACGGTCAGCGCTCCCAACTGGGAGGCCTTGGTGCGGATTGTGGATCCGCGTTAGCTGCTAACTCAGGCTGACGCCTGGCTCTTTGCTGCTAATTACAGCAGCTCAGGCTCACAACACCTGGCTCTTTGCACTGCTCCATCAGGGACTTTCTGCTAGTGTGCTGCTACCTCTCCATTTTGCAGCATGGGCAGTAGTGGTAGTGGAAGGAGAGCAGTTCTACAACTTGCAAGCACAGAAGCTTGGTAGCATCACTCTTAGGCATTCCTAGCACCTAGCTGAGAAAAAGTTGAATCTAGCCAATAAAAGATGGGAGCTGCACAGATGGTGTTTTCTGCCCAGAGTTTGATGGTCCTCAAATCCACAGGTTTTTGTGGTTTGAATTAAATAAAGAATTCCTTAACTGCCATCACTGAGACGGTTTGTGATGCTGAAGATGTTTCTGGTGTGCTGGAGGACATGGTGTAACTTCAAGGGGGAAAACGAATGGGAGAAAAAAAAATTTGCTTTCTCAAAGCTAATCACTCTTTTCTGTGTCCCCAGCAAGTGTGGGGTCAATCCTGTTTTATTTTGTCTTCCTCCCTGAGAGGGAAAGGGTTTCTGCTCTTTTCCAGGTGAACAGTAGGAGTGCTGGACAATTTCTAATGCAATGTGTTTTGAGCCAAAACAGGACCTCTTTCTCCAGGACTGGACTTTCCTTTTTCTTCTGCTGAAGTTCTACCCTGTGCATCCAATTGTTCTATGGGAAGGCAGGCTCTGGGGGTGGGCCAGGATAGTGCCCCATGAGCCCACTTGGACTATCATGATCCTCCCAAGGACCAGTTCCAAAAATGACCTGGCAGTGTCTCTGCATGTCCTTGGTTGACACACTAGTTTACAGATATATCCACTACTGTCACCATCCACTTGTGTTATTTTTGAGTGGGGGATTTCTTGAGTTAGATCCAAAGCTGTTCTGGAATTGCATCTCAAATATGCAGTCGTTTACTGCTTCCATAGACGGAGAATGAGGAGCTATAAATACTGACATGTTTGCTTTTTTATTTCTGTCTTTTATCATTTGTATTGAAATCATGGGTCTCTTTTGGCCTCAGTTTACCCACTGGGGGGAGGCAGATGCTGTTGCAAGTGAGCATGGAGGTATAAGAAAATGGTTGTACATGAAAAGTTTGAGGTCCAAATGCTTCTTCAGGTCTGTGAGGTACTGCCTTGGGTGACAGGCTGAGTACTAATTGCTTTCCAGCCCTTGTGTGCCTTTTGTTAACAATTTTGTTGGACCTGATTAAATCTTGGTGATTTTTTTTTCTGGGAGGAGAGGAAAGCCTTCATGATTTCCACCCCAGTCATCAAACTGGAAATCTGTGCTAGGTTCCTTCCTTTTGGTGGCCCCTTAGTAGCAGTACTGCCATACCATGATGATGACACCATCATGGACTGTCCAGATCTTGCTTACCTACTCCTATTTTCAAGCAGAGATTGCAGAGCGACAACCACATAACGACAAATGTGTGGTTTTGTTTATAATCCTGGTTTGTGCCACCTCATTTGTCTCCCTCTTCTCTGCCCGTATGAGGTACAGCTGGAGTACTGTGTCTGGGCACAGGGCTCCCAGTCCAGGAAGGAAAAACATAGCTGTTGGAGCAAGTCCAGAGGAGGGCCAGGAAGATGCTCAGAGGGCTGGAGCATCTTTGCTAAGCGGAAAGATTGAGGGAGTTGGGCTTATTTAGTTGAAGACAAGATGACTCTGGGGAGACCTCAGTGCAGCCTTCTTGAACTCGAGGAGAGCTTATTAGCAGAAGGGGAACTGAAATTTTGCACGGTTTAATAGTGATAGAACAAGGGGGAATAAACTTAAAGAGGGGAAATTTAGGTTAGATGCTAGGAAGAAATTCTTCAGAGGATGGTGAGGCCCTGGCACTGCTGCTGAGAGAGGGTGTGGATGCACCATCCCTTGAGATGTTCAGGTCCAGGTGGGATGGGGCCTTGGGCAGCCTGACCTGGTGGGGGGCAACCAGCCCATGGCAGTGGGGTGCTGGATGGGGGGTTTGTGCCTGGGTGAACTTTCAGGTCCCTACCAACCTTAGCCATTCTATGATCCATCATTCCCTGTTCTCTACCATGTAGAGAATCACGTTGTCTTCTCTACTATCAGTGATACAGAGCATGGCATTGCTCAAACCTTGTCATGATTTTTTCACTTCAGTTGCCATAGTTCCTTGGTTCCTTTCTTTGAAATAAAATCCTTGCTCCAGCCACAATTATAGCAGCCTCTTTTTTCCTTCCAGGTTTCAAGGAGACGGCCTTCCTCTACGCCATTTCCTCTGCAGGGCTGACACACGCTATGGCCAAAGCGTGCAGCGCGGGCCGGATGGAGCGCTGCACCTGTGACGAGGCTCCTGACCTGGAGAACCGCGAGGCTTGGCAGTGGGGTGGCTGCGGTGACAACCTGAAATACAGCAACAAGTTTGTCAAGGAGTTCTTGGGGAGGAAGCCCAACAAGGACCTGAGAGCCAGGGTGGATTTCCACAATAACCTCGTGGGCATGAAGGTGAGTTGTTGGATGCAAAATGTGTGGTGCCTTCTGCAGGAGGTGTGAAGTCCGATTAGGTCTATGCCCTGTTTTGATCACTGTGCTTCAAATGATTGGCGAGGGACCAGAAGGAAAGAAAAGGAACTTTTCAGATCTGGAAAATGAGACGAGGAGAAAGATTGCTGGCTTTCCACAGGGAGAAGTGGGTCTTATAAGGGGATGGCAAGACAGGTCATCTAAATTTGTACCAAGTTACGATGGGCAGGAAAGGATTTACTCTGCAGCACTGCAGGTGGAGATTGAGGGATGCTTTCCTTGAAGCAGTGCTGCAGATCATGGATAGCATAGCATCTCCATAGGCAAGTTTCTTTAAAACTTGGTGGACAAATATTTGCTGGGAAACCAGGGCAGAGCTATTCCTCTCTGACTGATTCCAGTCCTAAAAATCCCTTTGACCTTCCACCCAGAGATGCTGTGTTTGCAGCTGAGAGAACTCAGGTGTGCAGTCTGTTTTGTTTTGTTTCTTTCCTCCTATCCTTATGCTGGAGGGTTTCCTGCTCTTTTAACCCATGCTTATCCCCATGAGGCTTTGCCCTGAGTGTTGTAAAGGAGAAATTGTGTGCTGGCTCATCCCAACAAGAGATGGGAAAGAAAGGGGCTTTCCACCTTCTCCCATCAATTACTTGGAGGTACCTAACCTAGAGCTGCTTGCACATGAAAATCGCTCAGATTGGCCAGCACAGGTGCCTAGGATCAGTGTTTCATTGCAACGACCTCATAGAGGAACATACTGTAAGGCTATAAATAGCCTTCAAGCCTTGTTATTGTCCGTGTGATTGGATGGAGGGTTGAGGCTGAGATGGGGACCTGGGTCTCCAGTTTCCCAGGCAAACGCTGCCCAGCCAGTTGTGCATTCTAGGAATCACCACCCCAGCTCAGTTGTTCCTGTGCATATGCATTAAATGACATTCATTGCAATGGAGTTGGGGCACTGAATGCCCCAAGAATGCCACTAGTGCGTGCTGGCCAGCAAAAAGTCTCCCCCTGTCCCCACCACCAGATGCTCCCAGACAGCGCTGAGATCAGGGTTAGAAATATCCTGGATTTACTTGGTGTCTGGCTTTGGCTGACAGCTTTTCTGCATCTGGATTAAGAGGCTCAGTGCCTCTGAACTCCTGTTGCAGCTCTTTGGCGTGTGAAACAGGCTCTGCGGAGTGATGAAATCTGTTTTAATCCTTGTGTTTGATTGTTTCTGAGGGCATATCCTGTAGGAAAGACTCTTTGGGCTTGGCTGTGCAGCAACTGGAACAGAATATGGGGAAGGTGGTCTGTGAGGGCTGTGATTTCACGCTGTTGAGAGCTATGAGATGTCTCTGCTCTACTCCTTTTCCAGATTCACATAATAGAGTCTCATCAGAAACCACACAAATGAAAGTTTAGGTGCTGTGGGAATGCTTTTGTAAATCCATATACATCTCCCCTCCAGCACTGCTGGGACTGATGAACTTTCCCAAGGGATTTGATCTAACTGCCAGTGTTCTCCATCCCACTACTGCAGGGAGGATGCCCACATGGAGCCAAGACCCAGTCTTGGATTTTGGTTAGGCATACCTGGTTGTCAGCTCTGTTCTCCACTCTCCATGTGGTTTTAAGCTAAAGGAACTCCAAGGATGAACTGAAGAGAGGGAATCTCTTCATGATGCCTGAGTTTCTTCCTGATCCCACTGGGATTTAGATCCCAGGGCAATGGGAGATGTCAGGGAGTCTCTTGCATCCTCTGCCTCCACTTTACTTGGCACAGTCAGGCCCTGGTCTTTGGCAGTGGTTTCTAAGCACTAATGTAATATCTGCAGCTAAACAGCTGAGTAACAGTTGTGACGGTTGTCCAGACACTGAGAGCCCTCATGGCGATCCAAGTCAAAGACCTTTGCTGCAGGTCAGTGATCCAGCATTCCTATTTTTGTCCACCCACGCCGTGCTGTCAAGCTGGTATTGCTGCCTGACGGCTTTGCCTTGCCTATTTGCAGTGGCAGTTGAAATGATTTCTGCTTACGTTTCTAGGCTAGTTGTACCTTAGTGTGGTTGAGAGGCAAGCCAAGCAGCTCACCAGGCTCACAGCTGCACTGAGAAGCCAGGCAGAGAACAAGGGAATTTTGATTTCAGGAAGAAGCTTTTATCAGGGTGTTGGTTAATGATCAGGAGAACATATGTCTGTATAGTCAAGATATGTGGATCTAAAGCATTGGCACAGCGTGGTGTCATTGAGATGACAATCAGAGATGTTTGGAGTTGGGATGGGAGTTGAGAGTTGCCCAGCATGCAGTACTAGGCTGAATTATTGGCATTTTCCTTGATAAAGACACTGAGTTAAATATGAAACTCAACATCTGTCCTCAACTCTTTTTTCTCCAATGAAGTTGCCCATCAGCTGACTGCATTCTTACAGACTTTCCAACTCTTGCATATCTGGAGATACTCACCTAGTGACTACGAGGGTCTAAACTACTTTGAAGCAATCTAGTTTGTTTATTTGGGTAATAGATCATATTCTTTTGATTTGATGTGAATCCAAAGCCAAACAGAAGAAGGGTAAATATCTTTGCTTTGTGCTGTTTCGGAACAGAGTGCCAATTAAATAAGAAAGATAGCCTTCCAGCCTCTAATGTCTTCACTGTCCACACGAGAAATGATGATTTCAGGCAGGAACCTGAGGCACAGAGTGCCTTTTCCCAGGTCATTTAGGAAGCTGATGATGGAGCAGGAGGTAGAGACAAGCACTCGTGAGTTTCTGCTCAGCACCCACTGTTTTTCCTCAAACCAAACCTCAGATTTTATGTCTCGTGAAACCATACAGGCGTGAACTGAAACCTTGGCTGTGCTACAGACTGTTTGGGCTTGTGCTGGGCATTGGACAAGGAGACTTTCTTTTCCAGTACTTTTCTACAGGGCTTGCAGCTGTGCCTGCCCACGCTGGTGTAGGTACAGTGTATGCATGGGGGTATGTGTGTTTGATGGTGGTAGAGGAATATCTATCAAAGATATAGCACAAGCTTGGTGGTCTCTCAGTGATTCGTAGCAACATATAACCCTTCCCATCTAATTACTCCCAACCATGACAAATTGTATAAATAGTCCCTTGAGACCCAGCAAAAAAAAAAAGAGACTTGTGCTTAATAGACTTATTTGGCAACAAACACTATTCCCTCCTGGTCGAGACGGCAGTTTCTCCATGGTGTCACACTAGCAAACAATTTGCATCTTTCTGGAAGGGTGACATTATCCTATCCCGCCTAGTTTTAGTGTCTCTTGGTAGAAGTTCTCATTTAATTATTATTTTACTTCTGTTTTTAACAACCTTGATGGGCCAGCCATAATTTTGCCACCACCAATGAAATAATCACTGAACATGTTGTGCCCATGATGGCTTACAAAGTTATATGATATGACCTCAAGTGCTAATGAAAGGGCGAGCTTGTCTAGCGCAAGGATGAGGTAATTAGACCAAGACTTCTCCAGCCTTCTCTTTATTGAAAAGTAGGAGCTCTGAATAGACCACTTATTAAAAAAGCAATTTCCCTTCCTTTGCAAAATCTACTCTCGCTCATTCAGCTATTCTTTCCGAGAGGTCTTGGGTGGAGAGGATGTGTGCTGGGGGGGAGTGGAGTGTGTGTCAAGGGGATGGGGGTGATGGAGGGGAGAGAAGTCAACTGCATTAAAGCTCCGCTGCCAGCAGTGAAGTTTCTTGGTTATATTAAATGAAGCACAGGAAGCCTTGCTGAGGCTCTCTTCTTCTCTATATCCTCCCCCCCCCTCCCCCCTTGTACACACAAGTGCAGCCCTCTTTTGTAACCCATTAATGAAAAGTTGGAATATTAGAGCACTCAATTAGTTCCACTGGGTTCGAGTAAGTGATGTTTTAATTAAATTTGCCCAGTTTCTCAGCAAAGTATCATTAAACATGACTTTCCAACTCCCTCTCTGGAGCGTTGCTAAGTTTCTTAATCCCAGGAGTGCTGACCTCTTCCAGAGGTATGTCTGGTCAAGCATGTCTTGCAGATCCAAGGGGCACTATTAAAGACGGCTGCTATTATCCAAGGGAAAAAAAAAAAAATTGTCATGTTCTCATTCCCTTTTTCCTTTATACTTTCAGAAGGAGGGACACAAGCAAGCCTTTGCCCTCAGGACCCTAAAGTCAGGGGTTTAACCAAAGGCTTCTTGGGATCTGCGGGTGTTCAGTGCAAAACTATGTGAGGATGGAAAAGGGGAACGAGAAAATTCTTCCCTTAAAAGTCTCACTTTGGGCAATATCTCCCTTTAAAATTGTTTCCCTTCATGAAGCTTCCTTTATTGTTTTCACACAATACTGACCTGCATGTTTCAGTCTTGGAAACAGTTTTGGAAGCATCTTTGTCGCCCTTGTTGCTGCAGGGCTCCAGACCTGTCCTGAGGCTTGTTACACCTGCATCTCTGAAACCATGTGGGATGTTTTGCAGAGGTTGGTGGGAGGTGCATGGACTTTGCTTTGCTTTTGGCTTGCTTGTTTGGAAGTCCGTGCAAGGAATGGCTTTTCTCCTAAGACAGTGTTGGCAGAGACCTCAAGGGTTGAGCGTGCCTCCTGCTCTGGAGATAGACTCTCTATATCAGGTGGATGTTTGCCCTGCTATCATCTGTCTGAGGAACTTCATGAAGTATCACATATCGTGTTATCAGAGAGCACCACCCTCTTCATTGCTGTATCTCCATTTTACAGAGGGGAAACTGAGACCCAGAAAGATTAAGTGACTCACTAAAGGTCACACACAAGTGCAGCTTGGCACCCTGGTCTCCCGTTGCAGAGACAGTGTTTGCAAGCACCTCCAACCATATCTTGTATGGTTCTCACTGTAAAGCATGATTCCAGTCAACCTCTGGAGTTTGTTGAACAGGTACTTTCAATTGTAATCTCACAGTTTTCCAGTACCCTCAGAAATAGTGTTATAATTGTTCCTTTTGATGAGGCAAATCCATCTGAACTTACT